TGTACTTTTGTTTCGACTTTCTAACTTTGCAGTTCAGTGATAGTTCAATAGTAGAATATTCGCCATCTACGCTTCACATGGTCCGGGGTTCAATTGCCGGCCAAAGCATTGTTAAAGCTCGCGTAGACAGTAATAAACCTCGCAAGGAGAGAAAATTGGGCGGGAAACTAACCACCACACCTCGTGAAAACCCTATTTTCCACTAGGAAAGGAATAAAAAAAGAACATTAAACGACATGGAGTTCCATAATTTATGCACCTGACTGTATATGTCCTATTGATGCTGAAAAGAATGATTTTTAGACGTCCTAAATCCTTTTGTGGATATTAATGTCCATCTTCAATCTTTTTCTTGGTTTCTTTTAAAATGGACCAATGCAAGCTAGTCTTGTTCATTTACTGATTCGAAAGCGATATGATTGCCCTTTTTCATTGAGTTTATACATATTGAGAAACTATGGATACGATTTCGTTTCATTCCCATTTTTTTTTATTCCTTCACGTTCCCAGTGGAACATAGGGCTTCAAGCAAGAGACTTGAAGATTCTGTAGCAGCGTTTATTTTTACAGGATGGGGTTGCTAGCCTCATGCCCAACCTTCCCTCTTTACCAGTCTTACTACTGGCTTAGAGAGGTAAAGGAGTGCGTCGGCCGGGGATCGAACCCCGAACCATGTGCATGGTCGGCGAGCGTCCTAACCGCTATGCCACCGACGCATTCCCATATCAATAAAATACTGTACAAGTAGATATAAGAATAAAACTTGGGGACTGTGGTAGAGTGTAATTCCATTATGGGTAAATTTTGTTTCGATAAAGTCTCACAGTGTTATACAGTAATATTTACTGATGACGTTTCGAGCACAATTTATTGCTCATAATCATATCAAGGTAATCACACGACTTCCTAAATTCATTTATATAGTTCCGTTGTTTTTCACTTGATTTGATTGGTAGTATTATTTTCCATATTTCGGGTATGAGTGATGAATCATTCCTATTACATGTGTTGGGTGCAGATTCGATGAACAAGGATTCAGTAATCAACCTCTCTCTCTCCACCTACCTAGATTACTTTTTAGAATTTTAACCCTCTCCCACCCTATTGTGTAGTTGTGTGTTAATGCATGCATTGCAATTGCTGAGCTTTTTTCTAAATTACTTATCTTCTCGGAGTCAATCATTCTTACCTTAGCTAAATTCTTATGTTCGGACAATCTGACTACCCCTGACTTACTAGTTTGACCTATGTAGCTGACCTCACAGTCATTGCAGGTTATTTTACTACCAGTCAAATCAAGTGAAAAACAACGGAACAATATATAAATGAATTAAGGAAGTCGTGTGATTACCTTGATATGATTATGAGCAATAAATTGTGCTCGAAACGTGGTCATCAGTAAACATTACTGTATAACACTGTGAGACTTTATCGAAACAAAATTTACCCATAATGGAATTACTGTACAAGTAGGCATAAACCTACCGATAGCTGTATTTCCACTACTATCCAAAAGGTTATTCAGAGAATTATGTTGAGTGTATTTTTATGATTCTTACGGATAAGCTGTTCTGGGGACAGCATTGTGTAATATTAAAGTAACAGGTCATTTATGAGGTTTCTTAGTACGACTCTAATTTTAGTGCTGTCACCAATGTTTCTTCTTCTACCTTAAAACAATTAATTAGGTCAAAATTTAAATAAATAGTTTTCAAGTTTTACGATGGTCTGATATCAGTTACATAACCACTGAAAACCATCAGGCAGTACTGGATGGCTTTCTCCTTAGTCTTTGTTTGCGAAACATCAGCAGTACGCACCCACCGCCAGAATTCGAAGGCCATGTACTTCAGCCACTGGGACCTGATCCAATGGCCCGTGAGTTCTAACTTCGACCAAATTGTGACTTTAGCGTGGCCACCAGCCAATGTCTACTGTCAGTGATTCCAGAATTAGGATGGAACAGCTGTTCACTGCTCCCTGGTTCCCACTGGTTCTCTAAATGATATCAATCCGTGGTCAAACCTAAAAAGAAATTGAATCCCTTCAAAATAACCCTTGAAAATACCTTCCAGTTTACCTCAATGCCATTTAGGGATGACAAGGAAAAGAAACTTTACTGTTATTTATCGGCTAAGCTCCTAATTGATAAGTTCTCTTCCTACAGTATCTTTATTGCTAAATGGATTAGCTACCAGTGAACACATGATGAGAGAAATGCCTTAAAGAACAAATGTGGATTTAGGCCTTGTATGGTGCGACAATCAGTTTTTAGAAAGACGGATACTCTGAAAATATATAAACGGTGTAATTTATCTTATTAGTGTCTATGGTGTATATATGTGAAGCCAAAACACGCTACTGCACTACACGCGGATCGTTGTTGCTTATTTCACGTGATACACTTTAGAACGATTGTCTTTTATATTCTTTGGGTCTAAATGATGCGTATTCATTTTGTGACAAACACTCCTGTCTCAAACATTGTGGGGTCCACCAGGTCGGGCATCAGGATAAACACTCGCTGATGACAATGGCTAGTGCCAGTCGCTCTACAACCACAAATTCGTAGAAGATATTAGTCGCCTTGCTTTACGTATTCCAAAGATTTTCATTTATGTGGTGACTATATATCTCAGGATTCTGTTTATCCTTTTCGTCATCAGTCATTCAGTCCTTGGAACATGGTTATTAAAAAAACATAGTTTCACTGCTTACTGTTTTTCCTGCAAAAATGAACCTTTAAGTGCCAAGAATTTTTCTGGAATTTCTGAATATTTCCATCCCCAAAAGGCTCTGATCCTATGGATGTGGTTTCCTGTTTGTTTCACTAGACATCAGCTTAATAATAATGTTATTAAGAAGAACTTTTCTTCTGTAAATGAGTGTACGAAATCACCCGCAAACGTATATGACGTTGAATCTGAACATTCTGAGAATTTCATCTCGTTTTGGTTACGGGATTTCATCATGGGCTGACATCAGTTAGAGAACCATTAGAAAACCAGCTGGGAATACTGCTAGACAGCTGTTTCCCACATCCTAGTTTGAGACTCTTCATCAGTAAGCACCCGCCGCCAGGGTTCGACCCAGGACCTTCTGGTTACAAGGCTAGCAAGCTCATAGACCAATAACTCACTGGGACCCGATCCTTCTTCTAAAATAATTAATTATACATACTGAAGGACTCTGTTATCTGCTTCTTGTAAATTTACATTTTATCTATTATTATTTCACATCTTTGCGTTCTGAACGAAAATAGGGTTTCATGTGTGAGCTACGAAATTTCAGTAGCACTTACGTGGCATGTGCTACTGACAACATTTATCAGTAGTACATAAAGAGAAGCTCATCGGCAAACAAAAATATCAAATGGTGAATACATAGATTTGACGCCAAAGAGAGCAAATGAAGCAGTACTGTGGCGAAAAATGGGACATACGAAAAGGAGACCAAGAAACACAATGCGAAGGACAGAAGTGATTACGTAAAATAGTAATAATAATGGTAGTATGAAATTATTACTTATCCGACTTATCTGTATTGCTGAAGCCATCTTTGGCCATCGAAATAGAGAAGCTAGATCTCTGTTTACAGAAAAGGTTAGTTCAACCCACTCCCCACTAATCATATGTCGGTTTTTACGAGTTGGTCGCAGATTGATATCAGTTAGAGAGTCATTAAAAATCAGGGAGTACTGGACAGCGTTTTCACCCCAGTTTGGGAATCATCGGCAGTATGCACCCACTGGGGTTTGAACCCAGGACCTTCCAGTTACAAAGCAAGCTCGTACACCATTCAGCCACCCCCAGGTCCCGAATCAATGGCCATGCCATGAATTCTAACTTCTACCAATTCGTGATTAAGCGCGACATCCATCCTCACACGTGACAACTGGTTGAACCTGACTGGTCACGACTTCTCACTAGAACTTCAGGAAACTCCGTCTTGTAGCAATTCACTCGCGAGCATCAGATTAATTTTTTATAGTTTGGTTTGTAAGGGTTAGTTTCAATTTTACGAGTTGAGGATGAACTGATATTAGTTAGAGAACCACTGGAAACCTGGAAGTCCTGTCTTGGCACTACAGTAGGTACGTACTGCCGATGATTCCCAAACTAGGGTGAAACAGCTGTCCAGTACTCCCTGGCTTTCAATGGTTCTATAACTGATATCATCTGTGATCAACTCGTATAAACAAAACTAACACTTACAAACCAACTATGGAGTATACATTGGTTTTACTTATTTTTTTCGTTTTGTTTATTCAATTTGTATAATTCTCCTTTATTAATTACATCAACTGTTACTATTGTTGTTCTCACTTTGAATTGTCCCGGGTATTATTTCACTCGTTCCATTTGTTATTCTAAATCAATCTTGTTGTGCAACGTTAAATTCTGTTATCAAATTGCATACAATGTTACGTAACTTTTTTATTTTTATTCTATTTGCCTACTAATCTTCTAATTTCATACCCCTTCTAATTTCTATATATCCTATGAATGGTTCTGCCACTTGACATTTAACCATGGTTATAATCACAAACGCTTTAATTGTATTTCATACTACTTTGATTCGATTCTCTTACCGGATATAATTTATTAAAAAAGGGCAGAAGCTGCACAATACGAAAGATTTGTGCAAGTGACGATTTCCAGATAAGGCGTTCATAATTTACCCATATAAAGATATCAAATTCCAAATAAATATTCCGTTACCAAGTCTCTTATCTTCTACTGTTACGACAGTACTTTGTGATGGGATGAGGCTGCTAGCTTCCTATCCAGCCCCCGTCTTTATAGAGCTTACCATCGGCTAAATTGGATTCAGGAGTGAGTCGGCCACAGATATGATGTGATGTGGTCGATGAGTGTTATACCAACGGAACGTTCCTTCCAACGCATAAATTTACATTACGCAATCAATAGTATGAACACCATGAGGAGCAAAAAACTAATTCATAAATCACATTTATTATTATTACAAAATAAACTAACCTTTAAAAAGTATTGCTAATTTCCATATACTGACACAACCTTGACGAAAATACTGTCCAGCTAATAACTCCATATAAAATAGCGGGACAGCACAGAAAATTAACATTACCAAATAGGCTATAAGAAATGCTCCACCACCATGGATATAGCACAAGTAGGGAAAACGAAATACCGTAGTCAAGTCAACTGCAAAACTTATACTTGATAAAAGAAAATTTAAACGAGACGACCATTCTGTTCTTTCACCGCCATCATTTTCATTTTTAGCCTCGGTGGGATTAATATTTTTATTCGGAGTAGAACTCTGAAGAGAGGAGGATGATTTACTGTTCCTTGGCTTCTTGTGACCAAAATAAACATGATGTGGATTGTTTTCATCGTCGAATTCACTAGTGATTGAGGGATTTCTTGGACGAACTGACACCAGTGATACACTACTCTGTAGTACTTGTGACATAATCAATAGGAATTTGTCAAGGAGGTGTCGAATTTCTCGTCGGAAAAAAACAAATATCAACTTTATCAATATGATATTTGGCGTTAGTAAAACACGTTTGTCATGATCAGGTGAAAATATTCGACACTAGGGGGTGTTTGTCTGAATTATATATATGTTGCAAGGCATTGTTTAAATAGTGTTTAGTGTGCGTTACAATAAAAAAAATACTGTTTCTAGACATATGAAATTCTAATTAGTGGACTCAGTTTTTTTCTTTTTAGGCTTTTTTTGTAAACTTTATGATAAAAATAGTTTCATTGAAAAAAAAACTTAGTTCTCAAATGAAAAGAAAGATTACACTGGTAACATGTGTACACTTGTAAAGTTGTGAAATCACATAGATAGGCTTCTGTACTTTCTTGTTTTTAGAAAAATCGATATCCACGTGTCTGAGGTGTGTGCTGTTGGGTATATTTGTATGTATATATGGTTTTATCAATTGAGCTGAAAAATTGAAAAAAAAACGTAGTGCATGTTGAAGTATTCGGGAATATTTATACAAAATGTCATTCATGTAACAGAGAACATATCGTTAAAATGTAGGCGCTTTTTTGAAAGAAAGTTTGTAACTGTTGTTCAGTGATGGTAGATCTATGGTTCTCTAAGTGATGTCAATCCATCGGCAAACTTGAGGCGAATCAAATCCCTGCAAACAAAACCCTTGAAAATTAATCTGATGCTCGCCTGTGATTGACAACAAGCAGAAGTTGCCTGCAGTTTTAGTGAGAAGTCGTTACCAGTGGGCTCCATCCAGTTGGCAGTGAGGAGGAATAATTGGCTGATGATACTGGTTAGTAGTCTCGCTAAACATCATGGGTCATGGAATCGGGTTCCAATAGCATTCCTTGTAACCGGAATGTCGGAGATTCGAACCCACTCCTGTGGGTGCGTACTACTAAGAAGACTCAAACGAAAATGGAAGGAACAGCTGTCCACTACTCCCTGGTGCTTTTCATTGGTTCTCTAATTGCTTTCACTCGTAATAACAACGGTAACCATAGAGATAATAATAATCTTATTGTGAAACAAAGTGAAATTAAAATAAAATAAATTTTAGACCTATCCAAGAGCACTTTATTTGACAGCGTCCAGTCCTCAGTGATTTTCGGGTGCATCAGTTAGTGGACTATTTTAGTAAAGTAAGAATAAAGCATTTCACAAACTTTCTTCTCTTGGATGCACAAATTTGAATACAAATTATGAAATTATCAAGATTTCTGAAATTTGGTAGGAATGAAAAAAATTTGCTTACATTTTCCAGTAATATCAAGAATTTAAGCAATTTATAACGATCACGTAGCATTAAATAAATGAATTGAATGATTTCTATTACGCCTTATTAACGCGTGCTCAAAAGTGCCGTATAATGTACATAATGAAAGAAAGCTGTTTCGCCCTAGTTTGGGACTCTTCATCGGTGCGTAACAATCACAGGGGTTTGAACCTAGAAACTCTTGGTTACAAGGCTAACGGGCTCGTAGACCATTAAGATTAACGGCCTAATGGCCTGCAAGCGCGCTAGCCTTGTAACCAGAAGATCCTGGGTTCGAACGCCAGTGGTGGGTACGTACAGCTGAAGAGTCCCAAACTAGGACGTAGGAAACAGTTGTCCAGTACTCCCAGCTGGCTTTCCAATGGTTCTCTAATCGATGTCAGCTCATGATGAAATCCCCCAATCAATCTAACTAAATCCCTACAAAAAGTCAATACTTGAAAGCGAAGCTTTTAGATAGTCCTTTTGTAGAATCCAGATATTCTGATTATTGATAAGGGTTTACCATTCCCATTACAGAGAATCTGAGAGGCACTAACTTACATTTTACTGCGTGCACCAACTAAATGACCAGGGTTTTTCCAGAGAGATTTTTAGCATATGGCAGAAAACCAGGAACAGTTTCCGATAGTATACTAACTTTAGTTTTTATTCTCAGTGAAATATTATGAGCACCAATTCATTCATGAAACGCTCATTTTCATCTTTTTCTTGTTGCAAAATTCCTGTTGTACAAATTCGTCAAGTAAAATGCTCCATATTGATTCTTGCTGATTGTATCATCGTATGCTTTTTTCATAAGGAACTTTAAGAATGGTTGCTTTTAGACTCTTTCTCTTTTCAAGTATTGGTTTTGTAGAGATTTTGTTTGATTGGTTGGAGGATTTCATCATGAGGTGACATCGGTTAGAGAACCATTGGAAAACCTGCAGAGAGTACTGGACAGCTGTTTCGTCCATCCTAGTTTGGTGCTCTTCATTAGCACGCACCCACCACCAGAGTTCGACCCAGGATCTTCTTGTTACAATGCTGGCGAGATTGTAGACTATTAAGCTACTGGGACCTGATTCAATGGCCAGCCAGATCATGAATTCTAACTTCTGCTAATTCATGACGTGACACGACCACTTCTCAATATCTTCTTCGATGAGTAACTGTCCTCACCTTTTCATTTTACTTCAAACTCCTATGAGGGATGACAAAAGCAATGGCGATTCACATGTTAAATCCTGAACTTTGCATACAAAAGAGGTTTGTTCAGTCAATAAATCTTTCTTAACACCGAATGCATAATTCCACTGAGGATAAATTTTATTTTGATAAAGTCTTATAGTGTTGTACAGTAATATTTACTGATGATGTTGTGTGAGTAACTCGATATGATTATGAGCAATAAATTATGTTCAAAACGTCATCAGCAAAAATATTATTGTACAACACTGTAAGACAGTATCAAAATAAATTTTATCCACTATGGAATTATAATCCACCGCAGTGAACAAGTTCTCTTCTTATACCGGATGCGAAATTTTTGTTTTGCATTTTTTGGGGTTTTTAATTGTATTACTTTCTTGCCTCAAACCGCCACACCGAATTTTTACCTCTTATTATCACTGTTGTTAACCTAACTCCCATTCAGTTTAAGTTGAATTCTACTCACTTCCATCAGTCAATTTACTTCTTTAATTTCTATTTAGTTTCTGCTTGATTAACGCTTTTTTTAAAAACTACGTCGTAATTTGTTATCCTATAATTTTTTACAATTCTAATGTCACCTCTTTGCAAATATTCCTGGCGTTGAAAATATTTCTTTCTTGTAGAAAGTTTAAATCAACCAACAACTGTGAAAATAAGCAGTATTTAAATTTTTTTATCCTTCACGTTCCTCAGTGGAACATAGGGCTTCAAGCTAGTGGCTTCAAGTTTCCGTAGCAGTGTTTATTTTACAGGATGGGGTTGCTAGCCTCATGCCCAACCTTTCCCCTTCACCAGCATTATTTCTGGCTTAGCAAGATAAAGGAGTGCGTCGGCCGGGGATCGATCCCCGGACCGTGTGCCTGGTCGGCGAGCGTCTTAACCGCTATGCCACGGACGCACAGTATTTAAATGAATTCATGAATTTCGGTAGAAGGACTCGTCAGCTGAATACTCCACAACAAACATTGGTATTTATACAATTTTTAAGGGTCAAATACGCACAAACATATGAGCATTATGACAACAAATAAGTGTCACAATTATCATGCGTTTGTATAATTATAATATAATATTAATATCAACAGTAACGTGTTTCTCGTCGAATTTCCGAACATCACCCTGTGTGGTTAAGTAAAAGACAAACAAAATCTATTCGTGGCGCTATTCTATCTTATCTTGTGGATAAAGGACACAAGATTGATGTTAACCAGGCTTTCAAAGTCATTAACCTCATACCAACCAATCTTAACTTCGCCTTAAGAGTTCGTCTACTACATATTGCTGAGGCTGGCTGTTGGGATCCATATTAAGAAGCCTAACTTATGTATTTAAAAGAAGCTGGTTCAGACATTATCCTTACCTTGCCCATCTAGGTTCAAATGATCCTCAATTTTTGTGGAATTTTTCTGATTTTAGTTGCCACTATATCTTTGTTATTATTATAATTTAATCATCTCTAATGAACTGTTATTCCGTTCATCTTACTTTACAAATCGATATTATTTAAAAAACACTAATATTGTTATTGACTACTATTCTAGAATATTCTATGTATATACATATAAATAGTTGTAGATCCAGCAGAGGAAATTATCGAAAAGTATATTCTTTGCTCAATTATTTTGAGCTTTATTATACACAAAATGTTTACGCAATAGACACACACAATTTTCAGCCTAGTTTATTGCATAATATTTGCTCTTCATCCAGGAGTTTCAAGTAAAAAAGGGCCATCTCCAGTACATCATGTGACTCAGTGTTGTTAGATTTGGAGAATACTACAATACCTAGAGATAAGGTAAAGATGGATACCGTGGATAAGAAACCTTTGTATCTTACGTTGAGTTACAAAGGAGAAATTGTAGCTGACATTCTAAAATGTCGACTCAACAGATCAGTAGAGAGAATATTTCCTGCAGCGAAACTGTTATTCAACTTCTCAACTAAATCCGTACTCAAACACAACGAGTCAACGATGAGTTACCAAAGATGGCCTCATCAGTGTGTATCTGTGAATTCAACTGCTTATGTGGAACTATTTACATTGACAGTACTCAGAGGGCTTTATCACGTGAACATGCAACTGTATGGTTGAGTGAAGGAGTAACCAAATGCGTAAATAGTGCAGTCTTAGCCCACCTGGTAGATACTGGATACTCGATAAAACTTCACCAGGCGTTCTCAGTTATTTACCGCGTTCCTGGTAATCTATCTAGAGAAGCTCGACTACATCTTCTATCAGTAGCTGAAGCAGTTGCAATCAATACCAGGAGACCGACTCTTTGTAAACAGAACAAGTATGTTCAACCTCTATGTTTACCTTGGCCTACAATAAAGCCAACAAATCCTCCATAAATATTAATACTGTAAATTCCTATCACAATTCTCTTTTCTTCTTCTTTTCCGCTGTTTAATCGACAAACGTTCATTTCTGACCTATTACGACGTCATGACCTTTCTTATTCCTATTACTTTAGGTTTAATTAGTGCTTATCTAACTTGTTATCGTATTTACGAAATCCTCTTCATATCACTTCATTATTATTATTATTATTTGACAGTCATTCACCAATAGTGCTTTTAAGTTTACATCACATCATTGCTATTATTTTACAATCATTATT